TTTTGCTTTTATGTTTGCTTGTCATATCAATCACACAAACCCGTGCAAACGCAACATCACGGGCTCATCCTTGCGTGTCGACCGTGGTTCAATCCTTGTTGTAGATTGAGGAAATGATGATGGTGCACAAGAACATCTTGACGCCCCAGTCGAATCGACCTGTCATGGGTATCATTCAGGATACGCTGACCGCTGCGCGGCGCATGACGTTTCGTGACTGCTTCATTGAGCGTGAGCAGCTCATGCATCTGCTCATGTGGATGCCCAATTGGGACGGGAAGATCCCGGTGCCAGCCATTGTCGCACCAAAGGAACTGTGGACCGGCAAGCAACTCGTGTCCATGATTATCCCCCGCCGCATCAATTTGGAGGGCAAGCACAGCACCCACGAGGATAAGGTGGACCGTGCTACACCGTACCTCACGGTGCACGATACCAAGGTCATCATCTCCAAGGGCGTGCTCATTTCCGGCATCTTGTGCAAAAGCATGCTTGGCGCCAAGGGAGGCGGCGTGATCCACGCCATCACCGTTGAGCATGGCCTTGAGGAGGCGCGTCAATTTTACGGCAACATCCAGACAGTTATCAACAACTGGCTCCTTATTCACGGTCACAGCATCGGTATTGGCGATGCCGTCGCCGACCAGGACACTAATAAGAAGATCGAGGAGTTGACGCAAGAGGCCACGCGCAGTGTCGATGAACTGATCACCAAAGCGCAGGCGGATGATATCAAGCCAAAGCCCGGCAACACCGTGCGTGAGACTTTTGAAGTTGAGGTCAACACTGTCCTCAATGACATGGTGAACAAGGCCGGTAAGGCGGCCCAGAACTCGCTCTCGATTCACAACAACTTCAAGGCCATGTCCACGGCCGGCTCCAAGGGTGGTCCCATCAACATCTCCCAGATTATTGCTTGTGTCGGCCAGCAAAACGTTGAAGGCAAGCGTATTCCCTTTGGCTTCAAATATCGCACCCTGCCTCACTTTGTCAAGGACGACTACGGTCCCGATAGTCGTGGCTTCGTCTTCAACTCCTACTTTAAGGGGCTCAGTGCGCAGGAGATGTTCTTTCACGCCATGGGTGGTCGTGAAGGTCTCATTGACACGGCCGTCAAGACGGCCGAGACTGGCTACATCCAGCGCCGCCTGGTCAAGTCCATGGAGGGCTTGCGCCTCAACTATGATGGTTCAATTCGTAACAGCAACGGTGACCTGATCCAACTGTGCTACGGCGAGGACGGCATGGACGGCGCGTGTCTTGAAAAACAGGGCCTGCCCACGCTCACGCCCAGTGACCAGGGCTTTGAGCGCGACTTCTGTAACACGGGCAACAAGCTAGCCTCACTGCGCCAGTACTTGGTGGGCAACATTGTCGACGATATCAACGCAGACGATGAAATGCTTCAGGAGCTCGAGGACGAGTGGCAACGCCTCCAAGACGACCGCCAGTTTTTGCGCTCCGTGTTTCCCAAGGGTGAAGCCGACGTGGTTCTTCCTGTGCAACTCCGGCGCCTCATTATCAGTGCGCAAAAGGAGTTTAACATTGATCCCCGGCGCCCTACGGACCTCTCTCCCGCTCACGTGGCTCAGGCAATCCGTACCTTTACGGACCGCCTCGTGGTCATTCCTGGTGACGACCCTTTGAGCAAGGTGGCGCAGCGCAACGCCACCCTGCTTTTCAATTGCAACTTGCGCTCAGTCCTGTCCTCGCGACAGTGCATTGTGCGCCACCGCCTCAACACCAAGGCCTTCGATTGGATCCTTGGTGAGGTGGAGAAGCGCTTCATGCAGGCACAGGCCCAGCCCGGTGAGATGGTGGGTGCCTTGGCCGCCCAGTCGCTGGGTGAGCCCGCCACACAGATGACACTCAACACGTTTCATCTGGCTGGTGTGTCAGCCAAGAACGTGACCTTGGGTGTGCCCCGCTTGAAGGAAATCATCAACGTGTCCAAAAAGCCCAAAACCCCAAGCATGGTCCTCTTCATCGGCGAAGACAAGTACCAAGACCGCAACACGGCCATGAAGGTGCTGTTTAGCATTGAGCATTCCACCTTGAAGACAATCATTCACAGCAGTAGTATCTACTATGACCCCGATGAGATGAATTCTGTCATCCCGGAGGACCGCGAGTTTTTGGAAAACTACGATATTGGTGACTTTGATATGAACAAATGGCATCGCTGGGTGCTGCGGTGGGAGCTCAGCCGGCGCGAAATCAACACACGCCGCATCCTGCCCGAGAACGTGGCCAAGCTCATCAAGCGCGCCATGGGCGCCGTTCAAGACACAGAGCGGGACACGGTCATGGTTCACTTCCAGCAGGGCAACATTGAGGATCACACGGTCATGCGCATCCGCTTGCCCCGCGACAAGTCTGAGGCCGACGACAGCTTGGGTCCGGACGCCTACCTGCGCCTGCTGGAAGACCGCATTCTTCACTCCATTACCCTGCAGGGCATCCCGGATATCACGCGAGGTTACCTGGTCACGGGCGACAGCAAGCAACCGGGCAAACAGCGCATCTTCATCAATGAGGAAGGCGAGTTCAAGCCGCAGGATCAGTTCCTTGTCGAAACGGATGGCTCCAGCATCCAATCGGTTTTTGCACAGCGCTATGTTGATCAAGAGCGATCCACTTCCAACGACATTGTGGAAATCTTCTCCACGTTTGGCATCGAGGGTGCGCGCAAGGCTATCGAGGCAGAGATGTACAATGTCATCAGTTTCGGTGGTTCCTACGTGAATGCTCGCCATCTATCCTTGCTTTGCGACATCATGACCACCAAGGGCTATCTCATGGCCATTACGCGCCACGGCGTTAATCGTCAAAACACGGGCGTCCTCATGAAGGCCTCGTTCGAGGAGACGGTGGACATTTTGCTGGAGGCTGCCGCGCACGGTGAGACAGACTACCTCAAGGGTGTGTCTGAGAACATCATGCTGGGTCAGGTCATACCCGGCGGTACAGGCTGTTTCGATTTGTTGTTGGACCAGGACCGACTGCAGCATGCCGTTCCCGTCGAGCCGGGACTTGGCGGCTTGTTTGCCAAGGGCGGTGATGCAAACGGTGCCGCCACGCCTTGGGGTGAGGGCAATGCCACACCGTTTGGCATGGGTGGCATGACACCTCAAAACGCCAGCTCACCTTACCTTGGTGCCGGCCAAACACCCATCGGTGGCTTCTCACCCGTTGTTGCCGGGGCCTTTAGCCCCGGCGGTATGTTGAGCCCTGGTGGCATTGCACAGAGCCCTGGCGGTGCAATGAGCCCTGGTGGTGCGATGAGCCCCGGCGTGGTCAGTGCCAGCCCCTTTTATGACCCTTCGTCGCCGGCAGGCTACTCGCCCACCAGCCCCAGCTACAGCCCCACTTCGCCTGGGATGTCTCCCACCTCGCCCGGGTTTTCTCCGGCCTCGCCTGCGGGGTTCACCCCTACCTCACCACATTACAGCCCAACGAGCCCAAGCTACAGTCCAACGTCACCCAACGTGGGCGGCGCGCAATCGCCTTCGTACTCGCCCACCAGCCCGAGTTACAGTCCCTCTAGCCCGGCCTACAACGCCCAGTCCCCTGCCTATTCACCGACCAGTCCAAGCTACAGCCCCACCTCCCCCAATGTCAAGTCGCCCACGAGTCCTGGCTACTCACCAACAAGCCCTGGTTACTCACCGTCGTCGCCTAGCTACAGCCCGACGAGCCCCAACTACTCGCCGACGAGCCCGAGCTACAGCCCGACGAGTCCCAACTACTCACCGACGAGCCCGAGCTACAGCCCGACGAGCCCCAATTACTCGCCGACGAGCCCGAGCTACAGCCCGACGAGCCCCAATTACTCACCGACGAGTCCGAGCTACAGCCCGACGAGTCCCAACTATTCACCAACGAGCCCGAGCTACAGCCCGACGAGCCCCAACTACTCACCGACAAGCCCGAGCTACAGCCCGACAGCCAACGGGACAAGCGGCCCAACCAGCCCGGGCTATTCGCCCACCAGCCCGGGCTACTCGCCCACCAGCCCGGGTTATTCACCCTCTTAAGCTCACTGTTTGGCAACGGAACTTGCCAGGTACACCGGGGTATACGAAAACACCCGTTTGTTCGTCGACGTTCGACTGGGTTGGTCCGCTCGTGTTCTTTCTTTTGCCCAGGATTATTCGTCACTGTGAGAGTCGGATGCTTTAGTTGAGAAAAGTGGCGGGTTGTTGCCATCTCTTGCCAAGGAAGCAAAGTCAAAACCATAAAACGGAAATTGATATTCAAACTCACTCACACGGCCACGCGCGTCATAACATACCACCATCTGTAACATTTTTCAAACTCCTGCGACATGGAGAACATCAGTGGGTAGGCACGAGCGAAATTGCAAACGTTTGTGTTCTCAGCAAGACGGAATCATTGATATAGATTGATTAACGCATGAAATAAAAAAAAGATTGTTGGATGGTGAGACTTGGCAACGAGGCCTGAGCGGAGAAGCCGTCCAATTTCATCCAAGGGTAGAATGCAGTTGCCTGATGCCTAGATCTTGCAGTCGGAGGGAAGATCAGGCCAAGGAGTCGAACGAGTATTCACTCAAATTCTCCCCCACTTTACTCCGCTTGCTGGCATGAGGAGGCTCCTCGTCAGGCGTGGACGCAGAACTTGCAGAGACCTCCTTGGTTTTTTTTTTGAGCCGGTTTCCTTGTTGCTGCTTGGCGCCTTCTTGTTGTTTGAAGTCTGCCACTGTGAATTCCAACATCATGCGGTGGTCAAAGCGGTAGGGCTGCCCCGGTAGACATTCGACATCCTCAATCATGGTTCTGCAGCATTTGCAAAACGGCTCATCGTCGTTTTCGTGGTAGCGTTTACAATACATGCGGATGCAGGTGGCGATGGCCAGGTAGGGCCGTTTCGCTTCTGGGAGATTGTCGCTTGCCAAATTGTCGCAAATGACCAAGACTTGTTGTAAAATCGCTTGTGAGTCATTACCAAACAAGCACTGAACCCAGCTGCTGTCTTGGTCCATATCCTGAGCCAAATTGAGCTTGAGCTTCTGAACCCTACCTCGGGAGCCGATGCAAATGACATGCTTCAGGCATTTACTGAGATCGTAGGGCATTGAAAAGATGCACTTCAAGGGTGTCCGCCTACACGACGCAAATAGCAGCTGCAAACGTCCCATACACAAGGGAAAAAAAAAAGGGGAAAAAAAAAAAAAAAAAAAAAAAAAAAAAAAAACATGTGAGGACTTGGGGTAATGTTTTTCGGTGATTTCGGTACAAATCAAATCGACTCACGTCCACAACTCCTTTCGGATCCGCTTCCTCCAGCTCCTCCAGAATCAATAAGCATAATGTATCCTATCAAATGGGGGGGTCAGGATGAGCTGCTTGTTCACCAAGTGCATTTCAGGTAGATCACGTGTTCCTCAAAAGCTTGTGACGTACGCAACCCCATTCTAAGAGACGAGTAAAGAGGCAGGCCGACTTGTCCGTTTCTTCAAGTTTGAGGAGACCGCAGATTGTCATGTTTGACATGCTGGCACAGCGTTCCAGCAGGGCCCACTGGAATTGATTGCGCGACTTTGAGAGCTCATCGGGGAGCGACACTTTTTTTTTTTTTCCAAGCGGCAAGGGGCACATACAAGCATGAGAAATGGCGACAACAGGGGGAAGAAAAGCGCTCATCAGCAGGTTGAGATTTATACCTGAGGTCCACCGGAGCCACGCATAAATAAAACCGTAGAGTTTGTTAAAGTCCAAATCGGCCAAGGAGTGCGTGTCTTCAAAGTTGGGCGTGACGTCAGATGGCCTGGATAAAGGTTGCAAATATACCTCTGGAAGGAGCTCAAGGGGCTGGGTAGGGAGCTCACTCATGTGATCAAATGTGATGTGTTCGAGTGCAGAAGAAAATTTGTCGAGGAGACGAATCGACAGCTCCTGTCTCTGGTTCTGTTCCTCGAGGCTCATGATGTCCTGGATGAGCTTAGACATGCCATTTGTTGTCCAATAGCCAGCCGGAATGTTTTGGCTCGGATGAAGACTTAGTAATTGGACGAGCTCAAACTCAGACCCAAAATCTTCCGACATGACTGCTGCTGGGCTTACAAGGGCGATCGAGGCTTCGTCCGTAGCACCACGTTTCTTGCGTTGGCGAACAACATTAGCAAAGGCAAGAAAAAGCAACAAACCAACAGCAGCGATGCCGCTGATCATTGCTGGTAGGAGCACTGAGCTTGAGGGCCCGTGTCCTGGATTCTGGTCAAAATATGAGTACTTTGAAGCGTTGAAAGCCTTGACATCGGGTCGAGTCGAGGCTGTAGCTCGTGCGGTCCGTCGCCTTGCTGCACTGGTCCAATCGTTGTCATCCAAGAGGACGTTGGCCGGCTGCATCACCGGGCCGACGACCAGCAACTGCTCATTCGAGACCACAAACGCGTGGGTGTCCAGCCGCACACCGGGCAGGTCGCGAGCTGTGCTGAGGTTGAAGATGCCATGTTCATGGCTGGGGTCAAAGCCTAGGGCATACAGGCTCACACAATCTGCGTCCACGGCCTGATGCACCAACATGGCCAGAGTGCCGTTTGCTGTGAGCGAATAGATGCGGGCGCGGGAGGGGTCTTTGATGGTTGGGAGTGTGCGGTGCACAAGTTCACGGCAGGTGGGGAAGTGAGGGCCCATCTCCAAGATCTGCAGCTCAGAGGTGGGCGTGATGATGGCAACATATTGGTGATTAAGAGGAAATACAGCTGTTTGAAATTGAAGCTGGTTACAATATGCCGTGGGGCCCAGGGGATCATGGTCCTTTGGTCCATGGGGCTGATTTGGGTATAGCAGCTCCGAGGCCGGCAATCTGTTATGCTTGCTTATCGAATAGGCGGAAGCCGTCAAGACCTGATCGGGTGTCCAAGTGAACCGCGTGTTGCGGCGAGCTTGGGTCTGATTGCATCCGAGTTGTTGTGTGGATGCCAGGTAGGAACAGCGAAAGAGAAGTGGGTGGGGCGGAATTCGCGGGTTGGATGGGTTGGATGAGCTTTCAACACCAAAGATGACCGTTGGATTCGCTTGGCTGGGATCACAGGCCAGAGTGGCGTTGGGGGTTGCAAGCTCATAAAGAGCTTGTGAGGCTCGAATCGTGCCATCAGAGGTCGTGTACGTGAGTGTGTTGTTGTCAACCGCAAAGACAGAGCCGTCTGGCCAGAGGCACACGGAGGCGGAGGGCGCGACGGGTGGGGTCGTGAGCCTGGTCGCAGCTGATCCGTTGAAAAACTCGCCCGCTTGGTAATGCGCGTCGGTCAGCACAAGACCGGTCGGGCCTAAAGTTTGGATCAAGAGTCCATCATCAAAGCCGCTGACAGCAGCGGTCAGCTGTGGTGGAGGGTGCGCCTCGATCAAATTCGCTGTCAAGCGCCACGTCCCGCTAGCGCTCGACGCCGCCGTCGCCACGCCCGTGGCAATGACCAACGTCAATACACCACGAAGAACCATCGCCAACAATTACCACAGCCAGACGCTTGGCGAGGCGCAGGCCCGGCGGTGTGTATCCGTCAACGTCTCAACAAGGGCCACAAGAGCAAATCGGATCCGATCAGGTGTGTGTGTGTGTGTGTGAGAGAGAGAGAGAGAGCGAGAGAGAGAGCGAGAGAGAGAGAAAAAAATGACGCTGAAGGCAAGAAAGAATGAGAGAGAGAAAGGGCAGCAGTAGAGAGAAGAGAGAGAGAGAAGAGGGAGAGGAGATCGAAACGAGAGAGAGAAGAGAAGAAGAATTGGTCAGAGAAAGAGAGGTGTAAAATAGAGAGAAAGAGAGAGAGAAGAGACAGAGAGAAGAGACAGAGAAGAGAAAAAGAGAAGCAGAGCGTCAAAAGAGAGAGAAGAAGAGCGACAAGAAGAGGGAGAAACAGTGAGAGAGTGCGTCAAAAGCGGACTCGCTTTTTTCGTCGAAAAAAATCGAGTTGATGCAGAAAAACATGTTTTACTAATCTAGTACATTACGAATAGCTTGTACTTGATGTAGAAATAAGTTCGAAACCGAGGTGTCGGCAACTTTCCGAACGCCCGTCAGAAGAAATCCATACCACACAGCAAGCGCCAAACGCACAAAGCGTACAAGCAACGCTGCTCCTGGTGATCAGTTTCCGAGACTGGCTACATAACCACCACCGTTACCACTGTTCGTTCCCTCCATCCATTCTCCCTCTGTTGCCCCTGGTTCGCAGCCGATGCAGCATCCTGGACAGTTGTCGTGGCGTTTCCGACCAGGAGAACAAAAGAGAGAGAGGGAGAGAGAGAGAGAGAGAGAGAGAGAGAGAGAGAGAGAGAGAGAGAGAGAGAGAGAGAGAGAGAGAGAGAGAGAGAGAGAGAGAGAGA